TATGCTAGAACCCAGCTATCATAACACTTGGAGCCTTAAGAGTCAACAGCATCATGCATGAGGGGAGATGATGATTGTTATTGATGTGTTTTCAACCAAACAATCAAGATCCCAGATTTTTTTACCCTAAGGTTACAAAGTTATGCATGAAATATTGGGAGCCATTTTTGGATGATTGCAAAGCACATGCCATGAAGGAAAAGCGAGGATGATATGGGTTTTATATTCAAAACAAACAAACACGAACCTAGATTTGCCCCTAAGATATGAGATCATGAATCTCCTGGGTTTTAGACTCCAAGTATCATGCAGAAGAGATTATAAGAAAGAAACTCCCTATTTAGATTTCCTTTCTGAACTGTTTGGATTCATGTTGAGATGGAAGATCAATTTGTGATCAAGATGGGTATTTGGGCCAGACGGGTCACGCGCACACCACACAAGCACATGCAAGGCTTCGCTCTCTCTCTCTCTCTCTCTCAGATTCTACTCGCGGATTGGACACACACGCGAAGTGTACGCCAGCAAGAGCTTTCTCTAGCTTCACTCCCTTGCGTACAATTACCCTCGCCTCTCCCTCTCTCACTCTCTGCTCTATTTGGACGCACAAGTTAAAGAGCCCGAATAGGCCTTTTCTCTCGTCCCGCTCCCACTATACACGAAACGAGTGGATCTCAACTCTGATCAAATTAAATTAATGCATAAAACTTAGTCCAATTTGTTTAATTTGCATTCAACGGCAAACGATCAGTCGATCGAAGCATGATCAAGCCCATAGGGACATGAATTGACTCGTTCTGGGTATATTGCAGGTGTCAACGCTAAAAATAAATCATCAGAATACCTGGTTTCTTGGGTTTAGAGTGTTCACTTAAAGTTTTTTCTAATATATGTCTTACTGCTCCTTGAATACGCCCAGTATGTGATTTAGGATAGCTTTACTTTACCAGGGATTTCCCCCTAATGCATTAAAACTTTAAAGTCGACTTCACGACCCTCAATTAGAAGTTGCATTAACTTAGGTTAGAGGAAAATATATTATATATAAATATTTATTAATATATAAAAATTTTTATATTTAATACAAATTTTCAATTAAATAGATATGAACCATAAAAATTGATATAATATAATATATAATTAATTCATATGATTATATAAATTAATAGAACATATATTTCAGGGCAACAATATTCGATTTTGTGATTTTCACTGCCTTCGACACCTTATTAGGTTTTTGCTTAAACATAACTTAGACTTCACGCAGTAGCAGCTTTGCTTATTAGTTGTCTTACACTAGCTTTGTCTACAAGTATTATTTTGTTCTTTTGCAGATTAGCCTTTTTCTTTTTCAGATACTAGTTTTGTTCCAAACCTAATATTCTCTTTTTTCAATAACTAGTCTTTATTTCCACCATTCACTGACTTATTATTGTTGCATGGATTGTACTAGCAGTTCCAAGAGAGTGGTATTTACAACACAATGTTTGCCATGAGCTAAGTTTTGCCAGGTCGTAGTTTGCCAGAAGTGAGCTAGGTTAGCGTTGCATAAGTTGGATTATCTTATTTTTGAGTTCAGTTTAGGAGTTCGCGCTTAGTTTATGCATTGTTACTTAGATTGTATAGCGCAAACAATATTTCTATTCTTATTATTAATTCTTGAATTAATTATATTAATAATTAATTAGTTATTATTTAAATGAAATTAAAGTTAAATTTTAGTTAAAATAACTACCATCCGCCGTCAATTTAAGATTTTAAATGTTAAATATTAAATAATATTTTAAAATTACCTAATATTTAATCTAATATTAATTAAATTTAAAATAGTGCTTACTTGAATTAATTAAATTAAAAAGGTTTAAAATTTATTAATTATTTATTTAATAAAAGATTTAATTTTAATTAAATAAATTTTGATTAACTTTAATTAATTAGAAATTTAAATTATATTTTGATTAATTATGTCACAATTAAATTTTAAATTTTATTAGTTAATGTTAATTAAGTTATTTAATTAGTTAAATTATTTAATATCTCAAGTTTATTTTAATTAATTTGTTATTAAATTTTAATTCTTTTAAATTAATTACTAATTTAGATTTTAATTAATTAATCAATTAAATTTTAATTATAGAGTTTTTAGGTTAATTAGTTAATTAAGTTAATTCATTTAAAGATTTAAATTAGAAATGTAATTGATTATTAAATAGAAAAAATTAAAATAGATTCATTACTTATTAATCAATTAGAATTTTAATCGAAGCTCTTAGATTGCAAGTTCGGCAGCCTCTTAACATAGTTTTGGTAGCCTCCTCAGATAATTTCAGCAATCTCTCAGGGTAATTTCAACAACTTTCTGATGTCTCATCCCCGCGAGGGGATGGAGGGCACTCATCATTTCTAGCCTACCCAGCCGGATAAAATTCAACGGTTGGAGACATCGAGGGATGAATCAACCTCGGAATTAATCTTCGAGTCTGCCAATGATACGATCGTGGTACGTGCTAGCATAATTTTTAAATTTGACATTTTTTCGAAAGGTTGGGGAGGGCAATTGCTCTTTTAGGTTTGATCAATCCGATCAAAATTGATGATTGAAGGCTTCGGGGGAAAATTGACCCTGATATACATCTTTGTCTCTCCAATTAGCACAGAGAGAAAGCAGGCGGGAATTTATGAGAGAGAGAGGCGTGCGGGAGAATGAAAAAGATGAGAAATATATAGAGAGAGGGTGGGCAGGAGTTTAAAAAACAATAAATTGTTATAAATTTTTTAAAAAATTGTTAAATAACATGAGATTTAACTATCTTATCAGTCAAATAAGATATAATAATTATTTTTAATAAATAAGACATAATCGATAAGCATCTTAACGAGCATGTTCACGAGCTCTAAAACATATTGTTGGTGAACAAAAATGAGCCGAACACGAGGTTGTTCAAGTTTGTTTATTTACCTATAGAATATTTATTAAATGTATTCAAGTTTGTTCGTTTACCTTATCAAACGAACATAAACGAGCTCTTGTTGAGCCGAGTCACAAGTAGCTCATCAAACGCTCGGTTTATTTACAGTAATATGAAGTAATTTTGTCGCATCCTATCATAGAAAACAAACTTTCAAGAAAGGGCTATTGATTGCATAACTCTTTACAAGAACACTTCTATCAACCAAAAGGATATTGTACATCTAAAGAAGATTGTTTCCATAAGATTCTAGTAATCTAGATTATTTAAATATTTATTTGGTTTTCTTTTATTAAGTGTTAGGATTATCTTTATTTAAATATAAACGGAAGATTTTTAGGAGTTATCAAGATTAAAATAGATTCATTTTCAAATTAGTTTTATTTTCTTTTGTGATTATATTTCTATATTTAACAATGTCATCGTCAGGTCCCAAGCCCTGGATGAGAAAAGTGGAGGGTTGCATTAGGTAATCAATAGCCAATGTAAAATTTGTCGAACAATCATGACATCTTATTTCTACATTTAAGAGCTGAATTATTGTTATTTGAATTATTATTAAAGGATGAAAGAAAGTTCAAAGATAGCCTCCTAGCTATTCTCTCTCCTCTCTAATCAAGTCCCCTCTCTCCTCCCAAGTTCTCTCTCTTCTCAACTATTGAATCCTCCCCTAAGTAATAGGATCTCTCTGGATTATTTAATTGGATATCTCACAAAAAATCTCTGATCAATCATCATTGCATCCTTTATTATTGATTTGTCCCCAGTTGTAGAACGATTTTGGTCTCAATACCACCCTATGACTGACTTCTCAGCCTCCTTCCAACTTGTTTAAATATCTTTTCCATATGCACAAGCAACTTCAACCATTGAAAATACTATCTTTTTATTTCCACCATTCATTCTACATACTTCGGCTTCTAGTGATCAATATTTGATAGAACTTACTCTCAATAGTAAAACGATATGTCACATCTCATATGGAATTGTATTCTAAATCATAGAACTAATTGGGTTCTCCATGACTGCGAAAACCTAGAGATAGGTACTCATCTGGTCACCACCCACTAACCAATACTTAGTGCCAACATAACACAAAAGAAACCATTTGTTTTAAAAAGTAAAAGCCAAAATGTTTCTATTTTCTTGCAACACAGCAAAATCAAATACTAAACTCTTGGGAAACCTGGGTTCATGATGACACATGAAAACACACCTTTCTAAAAAATTAATAAGAGAGCGAGTCAAACTACTATGGGATTAAAAGTGTATTCAATGTATGAGTGCAACTTGCTACTTATTCTCCGCACAAAATTTTGAATGGTTGACGCCGTTCGAGTAAGCGCATATAGATCTATGTACAAATGGAAATCAATGATCCCTTTTATCTGCTTTGATCTTGATCTAATTTGGCAGATTTTCTATGCTTAAACCCTCAGTTGCACAACAATGCATTTTTTTTTTTCAAAGGCTGAAAAAAAATATGCACAACATTGCATTATGATGTGCAAACCTAAAAGGAATTAAAGTGTGTTTGGTTTGAAGAAAAAGAGGTGTAAAATATTTCAAATGCATGAGTTCATTTTTTGTGTATTTGTAATTCATAGCCTAGTTCATTTTTTGTGTATTTGATATTCCTCCGATTTGGACGATTTTTAAATACACTAAAACTTTATTGTATGCCATCGGCCACTGCTGCCACCAGCCACCGCTGCCGGCCACTGCCGCAGTCGACCGCCACCAACGTCTGCCACTACTGCCAACCACAGTTGTCATCTCCATCCGCCACCAGTCATGCTTTACACTACATTCATTTTACTTCAAGCCAAAAATAATAATAATAATTCATATATTTATTTTACATTCATCCAAACAACTCAAAAAAATTTCAAATACACTGCATTTCTTTTACACTGCATTCATTTTTCAAACACCCGAACAGCCTCCTTAATATTTATATAAATTTGTTTCAATGGTCAATTCTCAATATCCAAAGTATTTGTTTGCCAAAATTAAATAAATGAGACTCACCAGCTTTGGGATTACACCAAGTTCTACCATGTTGCAGTGATTGCATGGGCTTAAAGACAGATTTGATAAAACACCTGCCGCTGCCTCTTTTACCTTGATTTCCTCATCATAAAGGAGCTTAATAAGGAGTGGTAAGAGATCACCACGCGCTATCTTAATCCTAGGTTTCTCATCAATAGATAAATTCCACAATGTACATAGACTTTGCTCCTTCACCTGCATATGCCCACCGTCAACAAATCAATATCATATTTAGGCATTCAAGGAATAATTTCTTTTCAACTTTACCCCTAGAGACAAAAAGGATTGATGAAGCAACCATGCAATTTCTTCAATCACACCACTTTCAGCTATAATATCTCTGTACAATTTAACTGATGATATGTTTCGCAAAAGGCCTGCTGCTGCTTCACATGTAGAAGGGCTATCTGATTTCAGAAGGCTGAGAACGAGATTCACACAACCTGGAAACTTCATGATAACATCCATAAAATTCTTTCCCCCGTCTGAATATTTCCAAAGTGTCACCACTGCATGTTCCCGGTCTACAGGGTTATTATCTAGACCAAGCATTTGAACAAACAGTCCTATATAGCCTTCTCCAGAATTACCATTGCTATTGGACACTTCAATATCCTGGAAATATATGAGGATTTAACATGATAACGTGAGACAAATTTAGGAGGAAATTATATCACTTGTGTGAGAAATAGTAAAAGCATATTATTGTCAATTTAAAAGTCACACCAGCTCAATTAAGATTCATTTGTCTTGTCAATTTAAAAGAAATAGTATCATTTGTGTATAAAATAGTAAAAGCATTATATTGTCAATTTAAAAGTCACACCAGCTCAATTAAAGTTCATGTGATACCTATTGTTATAGCTGTTCATTACAGAATAATTCCACCATTCAATTCAAACTTGGTAGGTTATTTCTTGGATAGGCTTGAGTGAGACGTTGACAAAGAGTTTTAAATTTCACAATTCTTTATGGCATGCGATTAATGAGATGTACGACAATAAACATAGCCTCCCTTCAACAATATTTGAAACTTTATTTGTGATCAAAATATTCAAGCAATTACCAAGATGTGTCTATTTATTACCAAGATGTGTCTATTTTTTCATTAAGCTATCCCATTTTATTGTGAAAAACTCCTTAGAGCATCTCCAACCGAACGTCAAACATTCGTATGGCGTCGTTCGGTCGCTCCAGCCAAACGTCAAATCTTCCACTATTTGTTAGCGGGTGAACAGTGTGACACCAATATTGGCGTTGCATTGCTCACCTACGCGATTTATCTGTCTCAACCGAATTTGTCGAAGAAACACACAAAAGAGGAGAAAGACGGTTACATTCGCAGAAGCGCGCAAAATGGAGTTCCATTAGAGAAGAATCACAGCATTTTTCAGTTTCACAGCATTTTGGAGTGAAAATGGAATTCTCGGTTGGAGATGCTCTTATTGGAGGAGATATTATCCAATGATTAATGAAAATATTGTATCCCATTGACAGTCTTAAAGTTTTGGATTTGGGTCTTACATTGGATTTGAAGAAATGAGAAGACTTTTTTAAAGATGAAAGTGTAGTCATGTGCTTGAGCTTGTCAAATCTATTTCAAAATTATCTACTCCCATGCTTACTTTCAATCTTCTAAGCAATGTATCTGATTTAATTTATTAAGTTATTAAGATTTAAGTTTGAATTCCAAATTGAAGATCGCAACTTGCCCTGCTTGGCAGAATGGCCAAGTAAACCTCTAGTTTGTCATGCATCACTCCTAAACTAAACAATATCAATAAATATGGTAGATAGCACGTAGCTACCTTGGACGTGGCGGACGGACCAGGGTTAAACTCGGCGGGGCCACCTTCGCCGGCGGTGGCGCGTGACAAGATGAGAAATTTGCGAGGCTTGAGGACAATAGCAGGAGAAACCCGGGGAGAGGAGATTCGGCGTGTGGTTTCGGTCACATCATGCCAGCGGACGCGGTGGAATTGTTTGTAGGCTAAGAGGTTAATGTTTGAAGCGTATGCCGCCGATAAGGCCATGGAAGAAGACGGGTAGAAGAAGAAGGGCACCAGGCGAGGAAGATGAAGCTAGTAAGTCGCGGAGTGGCCTTTTAAGTTAGTGATTGGAAATTCCCCAAAAAAAAAAAAAAGTTAGTGATTGGACACTGAAATCCGGGAACTTTTATTACACCCAGTAAGTAAGCTCTGTGTTCTGTTTTAGATCAAAACAGTGCAGTACCGAGTTTTTTTTAAAAAAACTCGGTACAACTCGGTACTCGGTATTGCGCTTTTTTGCCTAGATCCGAACGTAGAGGAGCGTACGTTCACTGGATAAAATAAAAGTTCGAAATCCGGAGAGTTCCCTACCTAATCGGGATTTTTTTTTTTTTAAATTAAGGGCTCAGCCCATTTTATTATAAAACAAAAAGTATATAAGAAAGAGTAAGAGAATCCAAAAAAGCTAAGAAGAAATACAAAGAACTCGAAAAACAAAACAATGAAGCAAAAAGATAAGGAAACCCTATCTTGTTGGACTCAGAATTCAAAATAATTAGATTTCATAAGAGGTACTTCCTTGGTTGCCCTTAGACTTTCCAAAGGAAGCGCAACGCAGGCTTCATCATCGTCCAACCAAAAAATAGTTCCTGTCGAAAGAATATTGCTTTCAAAACACAAGCAAGAGTAATGTAGTCGACCCTAAGATTAAGTGCATAAGTAATATGAAGCCAGTTTTTCACCAATTCCCCATTCTTCCATCCAGCAAGCTTTAAATATATGTGATACATCATCGAAAAATTAGCTTGATCGGGCACGAATCTCGAGGCAAAAGCTAGTTGGAAACTTCAAAAATTAATTTTGGGAGCACCCGAACTCCGATTTCAGCGAGCTTATAGTCAAATTGAGCGTCTCGGAAATACGAACCCGACGACACCAAGATCAACTCGATCCGAGCCCAAATGGGTCCGAATCATGGACCCGAAGCACTGTTTGAACGTTCAAGCTGCAATTTGAGTTACCAAACGGACTCCGATTTGGACGAGCTTATACTCGAAATGAACGGCTCGACGAGACGAATCCAACGAACCCAAGATCGCCAAATTCCGACATCTGTAAGGCCCTCAAATAACCAACGAATGGTGCACGATCGTAGGATTCAATATCGGCCGTCCATTTGACCACTCCCTATTCGCCCCTGATCTCACGCCTATTTACGGGCCATGCCACTCCAGAAAATCTATAAATAGAGCCCTCATTCTTCACAAGAAATGATCCAAGCAAGAAGAGAAGAGAAGAAGAGAAGGAACCTCCATCAACATACAACGGTCTTTCAGACCCCAATCTCCTGCCGGCAACGGTCTTCCCGACCTCTGTCGCCTACTATGGTCATTCCGACCTCCATTAACAGACAACGGTCTTTCTGACCCCGATCTCCTGCCGACTATGGTCCTTCCGACCAAACAAACAAGTATATGTAACTCCTACCATATAATGTAATCTATATGATGTACATTTGGTACATCAATCCAAGGCCTTCTCCCAAGGAAGGGCCTCATTTGTAATCGACTACAAATATTAGTGGATTCATTCAAACTGGGCCAGGCCCCGTGGTTTTTCCCCCTTTCAGGGGTTTTCCACGTAAAAAACTCTGGTGTCTCTTATGAATGCTACACCCTCTCACTTATCTGCTTGTGTGCTGGATCTTCGTACGATGCTAAGACGTTAAACTAAATATTTCTCTACTGCCGTGAATACTCAATGACGCAACAGTTTGGCGCCGTCTCTGGGAAAATGATTCCCGACTGGGGGTAATTTTTGCTCCAACCTCAGAAGGTTATTCAACTGCTATTGATGCATCCATGTTATTGGAATCAAATCCGGACTGGGGGGCAGCCTTGACTACAATTTTAGTCAAGAAGATTTCTCAAAAACATTCATATCAAAGATGATATATAAGGAAACTCCCTAAAATTGCAAGGAAGCTTCCGATAAATTTCAAATTATGTATAGTCCCTTACTGGACTTCTACTCTTTGGGCAAGGTCTTGATTTCAACCTCAAAAAGGTAGTAATGGTCTAAAGATAGACCCTTCTTAACTTTTGATTTGGGATACACGTGGCATACGCCCTCTCCCAATCAAGGCAAAATTGATCCCAGGGGGATCCGATTCGAACTCTTCCATACAGGTTAACATCGTCGAGCAAAGGCTCCGACATACAACCTCGGAAAGGTCCTACATCCTTGGTGGATTCTCCCGGCCTCTTCCACACAGGTTAACGTCATTGAACAAAGACTCCGACATACAACCTCGGAAAGGTCCTACATCCTTGGTGGATTCGCTCGACCTCTTCCATACAAGTTAACGACGTCAAGCAAAGTCTCTGACATACAACCTCGGATAGATCTTACATCATTGGCGGATCCAATATCGGTTAATATCATCGAGCAAAGGCTCTGACAAACAACCTCGGATAAATTATACATCCTTGGTTAACGTCACCAGAATGACTTTCGACGGACTAATATCTGATGCCAGAATTCTTCCTGTCGTCGGACTAATACCCTTCGTCGGACTTCTGTCTGTCGATGGACTTTCGTCGATCTTTTGCCTGACAGTACTTCTACCCGATGTCGGACTTCTCCCTACCGTCAGACTTCTGCTCGTCAGCGGACTTCCACTCGTCGTTGGACTTCTGCCCGTCGACGAACTTTCATCGATCTTCTGCCCGAGGTCGTACTTCTATACGACGTCGGACTTCTCCTTGTCGTCGAACTTCTGCTCATCAGTGGACTTCCACTCGTCGTCGGACTTCTGTCGGTCGACGAACTTTCATCGGTCTTCTGCCCGAGGCCGTACTTCTACATGACGTCGGACTTCTCCTTGTCGTCGAACTTTTGCTCGTCAGCGGACGTTTACTCGTCGTCGGACTTCTGCCCGTCGACGAACTTTCATCGGTCTTCTACCTGAGACCGTACTTCTACACGACGTCGGACTTCTCCTTGTCGTCGAACTTCTGCTCGTCAGCGGACTTTTACTCGTCGTCGGACTTCTGCACGTCGACGAACTTTCATTGGTCTTCTGCCTGAGGCCGTACCTCTACACGACGTCGGACTTCTCCTTGCCGTCGAACTTCTGCTCGTCAGCGAACTTTTACTCGTCATCGGACTTCTGCCCGTCGAGGAACTTTCATCGGTCTTCTGCCTGAGGACGTACTTCTACACGACGTCGGACTTCTCCTTGTCGTCGAACTTCTATTCGTTAGCGAACTTCTACTCGTCGTTGGACTTCTGCCCGTCGACGAACTTTCATCGATCTTCTGCCTGAGGCCGTACTTCTACACGACGTCGGACTTCTCCTTGTCATCGAACTTCTGTTCATTAGCGGACTTCCACTCGTCGTCGGACTTCTGCCCGTCGACGAACTTTCATCGGTCTTCTGCCTGAGGCCGTACTTCTACACGACGTCGGACTTCTCCTTGCCGTCGAACTTCTGCTCGTCAGCAGACTTTTACTCGTCGTCTGACTTCTGCCCGTCGACGAACTTTTATCGGTCTTCTGCCTGAGGCCGTACTTCTACACGACGTCGGACTTCTTCTTATCATCGAACTTCTGCTCGTCAGCGGACTTCTACTCGTCCTGCCCGTCGACGAACTTTCATCGGTCTTCTGCCCGAGGCCGTACTTCTACACGACGTCAGACTTCTACTTGTCGTTGAACTTCTGCTCGTCAGAGGACTTTTAATCGTCGTCGGACTTCTGCCCGTCGACGAACTTTCATCGATCTTCTGCCTGAGGCCGTACTTCTACACGACGTCGGACTTCTCCTTGTCGTCAAACTTTTGCTCGTCAGCGGACTTCTACTCGTCGTCGGACTTCTGCCCGTCGACGAACTTTCATCGGTCTTCTGCCTGAGGCCGTACTTCTACACGACGTCGAACTTCTCCCTGTCGTCAGACTTCTGCTCATCAGCGGACTTCTACTCGTCGTCAGACTTCTGCTCGTCGACGAGCATTCATCGGTCTTCTGCCCAAGGCCGTACTTCTACCCGACTATGGGCTTCTGCTTACCGTCAGACTATTAACTGTCGTCAGACTTTTGCCCGTCCACGGACTTTCATCGATCTTGTACATGGCGCTGCACCTCTATCCGACTTCATACTTCTACCAGATGTTGGACTTCTACCAGTTAATAGACTTTCATCGGTCTTCTGCCCGACGCTGTATGACTACCCGACGTTGAATTCCTGCCTGTCATCATACTTCTCCCCGATGCTGGAAGTATTCCGTCATTTCAACTTCCCTCCTTACAAGAGGTCTATTCGACCTCCATCGCCAACTGATTAACATCAGACCTCCGTAGAATATCTCGAAGGAGAAGGGGGAATCTCCGGACTTCCTTGCCAAGAGAGGGGCCTCAAAAAATCAAGGGAAGGCCTCAATAGTAAGGACAGAGGGAGAAGAGAAGAATGGGGAATCTTCGGACTTCCTTGCCAAGAGAGGGGCCACAAAAAATCGAGGGAAGGCCTCAATAGTAAGGACAGAGGGAGAAGAGAATAAGGGGAAATCTCCGAACTTCCTTGCCAAAAGAGGGGCCTTTGAAGACCAAGGAAACACCTCAATTGCAAAAAAAAGGAAGAAGAGAGAAACGGGAGAATCTCCGGACTTCCTTTCCAAGAGAGGGGCCTCGAAAAACCGAGGGAAGGCCTCAATAGTAAGGATAGAGGAAGAAGAGGAGAAGAAGAAAAGAAAAGATGAGAAAAAGAGGAAAGGAGCAATTTTCCTTAAGTTCTTGGGGCCTATTTATAGTCTTCAAAGGAGAAAAATGGCAGTTTTCAAAATTTCAGAATTTTCTAAATTTTTCCGGATTTTCTCGGAATTTTTTGGGAATTTTTTGGACAAAAAAAACATATCCAAAATACTATATTTTCAAACGCTCGAGGGACCACTAGGTCGGTGCCAGGCAGTAGCTGTTCCAGACGAAGCCTGGCGCTGCTAGCTGGCGGCAATTTCGCGCAGGGCACGCGCGGGATTGGCGACCTTGGCACGGTGGCAGGCAGCAGCGGCAGGCGCGCAGGCTCCGCGGCTCGGATGCAGCCGGTGGGGCAGCTGGGTGAGCCCGAGGCGGGC